AACACAGTGAAAGCAAATATTATATATATTTGGTTTTAAAAAAAAAAAAATTTAGATTTTTCATATCAACAAACCAAATCCTTAAATTGTGCTTTATCTTCAGTCTTTGCAAGGAGACCCCCAGCCCAGTAAAATCCAAGAGAATGTAAGTTCATATAGACAGCATGTTTCAGTAAGTCATAAAAAAAGAAAAGAAAAGGGAAATTCTGCCCTATAATCGGTTAGTGATTTATTTTTGCAACCTGCTGAACTTTAAACTCCCCTCACTTGATTTAATATAGTTTTAAAATGTCCATATATTTTGTATGTAAATTAAAATATAAAAAAAAGAAGGCGTGAAAAACAATCAGGAGGTTGCAAAAATAATTAAAATATTTTTAGGACTTTTAATTTAATCTTTATTGTTAATGTCAGAATGTACAATAGCCACAGTTTTGTTGTAAATATTACAATTGATTTTTGTACATCAGTCATTTAAATGTAAACAAAATTTTTCTTAGTAAATGTTTTTTCAAATATTGATAATATATACTGTGCGTGTGTATATATATATACACACGCACACACACTGAGTGTACACAGATTATTATGACCACCCCATCAGTACTTCGTTGGGCCGCCTATTTAGAAATACCATAATGAGGGAAGGTGATAGCATGCAATGGCTGACTTCCTTCTGATAATGCTATTTTTCTGGCTCGGTCAGAGTTGTCATCTGTGCTGAAGCCACTGGATTGGCTGGACAGTCAGGAAAACTGTATTTTCAGGAGGGGATCAGACACGGCAGCTTCCACACTTGCTCAGGGCAGGTTCACATAATTTTCCAGACCAGATCTGGAATGCAGTGCGTTGTGTTTTGCCACATTTTTGACGCGTTCCGGAGCTGTTTTTGTTTTCCAAAACTTAAAATGAGCTTTCAGGTGTGTTCCAGTGGTTTGTAGGCGTTTCCAGTGCATTCCAGGCCAGACAAAATGATGCACGCAGTATTTTTCTGGTCTGGAAGGGACTGCGCTGATGTGAACAGAGGCCAGAAGTAGCATAGGGATACATTAGGTCCGGAAACAATCTGGTCTGGTCTGGAGATGATCTGGATGTGGTGTGACTGGGCCTTCAATAAAGGAAGTCTGTTGCTGGGTGGAAAGCGGGAGGGGACTGTAAAACAAGAGATAGAATACTTACTTGTCTCGCTATCCGTGCCTCAGATTGATGTCAACCTGAGAATCTTCAGTATCCGCCACACTTGTGGGCACGTTGGATGATTGGTCCTCCCCCCAATGCACTCTGTGGTTCCACCCACCCGCAGTGTGTCCTATACATTGGCTGGCGGGTGAAGAGGGGGACCGGGCATCACACACTCCCATAAATGTGTTCAGGTTGAAGATTCTTTGGCTTAGCGGCGGAGCAGGTAAGTATTGTATCTCTTTTCTATTTCTTTTTCATGACAGAATCACTTTAAATGGTCAATATCAGTTTTGTGAACATCCTGAAGACCAAATCTTACACGGTTGCAGAGTCGGGTTCTGTTCCGTTGTTGGGACACACGTCACTCCTGTAAAAAAAAAAAATAGTTGCAAAGTATCAAAAATATTCCGTGTGCCCGATGATCTTCTCATAAATGTATCACAATGAGAATAGAATTCCGAATGTTTCCCTCTTCTTGTCTCTGTAAGCCAGATGACAGAAAAAGGGCTTTGGCTCGGCCCGATCTCCTAATTGTCATATTAACGACTAATCTGTATTGTAGGGTGTAGAGGAGCCGGCCGCTGTGCCCGTAAACGTATCCCCAGAGCCGGCACTAACCCCCGATACTAATCCGCCGGACGTTGGCGTCCAACCGCAGGAAGAGGAGAAGGTGGAAAAGGAGGCTCCTCCGCGACCTCTGCCTTTCTGGAGGAAGGTCGGCCAATCTCAACTTGTGCTCTCTTGCTTTCCATCCGGCTGTGTCACCTTTATTTCACTTCAACATGGCCGCCTACCTGTCTGCTGGTGTGGGGAGCCAGATCTCCTTTACTCTTCTTATATCTGCTGCCTCATCTTAGCTTTCCTCCTCCAGATCCTCTTTGATTCTGATGACTCCCCTTCATCATATCTCACCTGTCGTATCCAACCTTCCATCGTACCTCTCACAATAATATACTTTGTTTTTATTCAGTCTTTTAAGGCAGACCCCCAGCCTCCTAAAGTCCAGGAAAATGTAAGTTTGCACGATATTTACCCTTTACAATGTACTTCTTTATCATTGAAGATCAAAATACCCTCAAATTATTCTCTGAAGGGCACAGTTACATTGTCTGCACCTTTTTGGCGTGTGCTGAGGTGCATTATGTTAATACCGGCCAATCATTCGCTCACAATGCGGCAAAACACTATTTTTGATTGCGCAACACACAAAGCATTCGCCTATCCATATACTGTATATATATACACATATACACACAGGGCCTGGGCCACGGAAAAGTAGCCCGCCTCCAATACCGGTGCCGCGCTTTTTGGAGGTGGTCGTAGCCCCTTGCTCTCTGTCTGGCGACATATACACTGAGTGGCCAGATTATTATGACCACCCCATCAGTACTTGGTTGGGCCGCCTGGTGACTCCACGAGATGGTGAAAGGTGATGCGAGGAATCTGACACGGCACTGTTGCCCTTCTGTTGTCTTGTACCAGTCTTGCCCCCTCCCCCGTTCTGCCCTAACATTGACTAGTCGCTGACGGTCACAATTCGCACGTTCAGACCAACATTTTCGGCTGACAGAGAGCCATACACAGCTGACATGGGGTAAGGGAGCCAAATTGACCATAAATACTCTATGCAAAGTAGATTATTTTGCCCCCCTGCCTTACAATATCCGAACCTTGCCAGAAAAGCAATCTTACTCTCTATGTGTACTAACCCGTAATACCAAACCGTGTCTCGTTGTTACCTGTTTGTCCTGTAAGATGTGAATCCCCAACTAATCTTTGTCGTAGGTCGCAGTACAGCAGCCTGTAGTGTCTGTGAGCGTAGAGCAACCGGTCCCCGAGCAGCCAGCGGTACCAGAGCCCAAACCAACGGAGGCCGACAAACCGTCACCGGACAGCGAGAAGCCAGTGAAAGAAGCCAGTGCACGGCCCGTGCCTTTCTGGAAGAAGGTTGGACAATAAGAGAATTCATTTAATCTTCAGTCAATCAATCTCTTTCAATTTTCTATCACAATCACCCTTCTGTCATCACTTACAATGTTATTCTTAAAGGAAAGGTGCCACCATGTACTTTAGAGAACTCCGGTCAGGAGCACAACTTCTACGGTCCCTATAGTGTCAGGTTATGTGCTCATGGCATTCCAGTCTCTGTCTGTAAGCTGCAGAAGTCTAGTACCTCTACTGAAGATCACCCGCTGGCAGCCTCCAATCAAGGTACAATGACTGCTGCAAGTGCATGGTGTGCAATGGAGTGTTAGTTGTCCATTGGGATAGTGTTGGAGAGCCTGTGACAGACGCAGACATCCATACGCATTGTTTATTCGTTCACACGCCTCATCTATAACTAAAAGCAGACATTAGTCCTTAGAATGCCATTGTACACATTGGCTTGTGTGCGCCTTGCCTGGGGTTCTCTCCTCTTGCTCTGATCCGGTTCCTCTCTCTTCCATCTCTCTGTCTGGATTCAATTCTGACAATGCCTAAAAATGAATGATTGGCTGACGGCACCGAAATGTGAAATATAATCATGGTCATGATCCTGTGACTGGGAACACATAACTGTTCAGTTGATTTATATTATCGAAGGGCTCCACATCCAATCTGGCAACTAAAAAATATTTTTCTCTTTAGACGTTCAAACCAGAACTGCAATCCCAAAAGGTCCTGGAAAGCGTAAGTTACTCAAATCAGTAAAAAATAATAATTGCTTTTATTAGGGAGATACTCCAAAGAGATACACCCACCACCATCCGATATCCTCCATTCAATCGTTCATGGCAAAGAAGTCACCTGTCTGAGCTTCTCCCTGTAGTGTGCTCTGTTTTAGTCTATGCGTGAAGCATGTCAACCTTTTCCCCGATCTCCATTTGCATGTTACTGGTTACCATACTGGAGGGTTCCAAAAGTGGTCTACCAAAGGACCTTAAACATTGCCGACCAGCTTCTTCCTCTAGGGCATCAGCCCAAGTGCCCAAAAGGTCCCGGAGAGTGTAAGTTACTCACCTCAGGAATAATTTTGAATGACTTTGATTAGGGAGATACTCCAAAGAGATACACCCACCACCATCCAATATCCTCCATTCGATCGTTCATGGCAAAGAAGTCACCCATCTGAGCTTCTCCCTGTAATGTGCTCTGTTGGGCTTAATCTACGGGTGAAGCACGTCACCCTTTTGCCCCCCCGACCTCCATTTTCTTCTAACTGGTTACTATACTGAAGGGTTCTGGTTTTTATTGGCATCTGCATCATAACTAGGTAGATTTCCCCCACTCTATCCAAAAGTATTTTTAAGTCTTTATGCCCTAACCTGACCATGGATGGAGGTTGTACGTGGGAGCACAATCCACCACCAAGTGATTGCCTCAAAAGATGGACGTTGTATGGACATGCATCTCCCTTCTACTAGGAGAGCAGAAGAAGACAACCTTAGAAGTGCTCTACCAAAGGACCTTAACATTGCCGACCAGCTTCTCCCTCTAGGGCATCAGGCCAAGTGCCCAAAAGGTCCCGGAGAGTGCAAGATACTCACATCATTATATGTTTCTGTATGTCGTATCTGTGTCTCTGTAGCATCCATTAACATCTGGTCTTTGTTGTAGGTTGCGGTAGAGCAGCCTGTTGTGTCCGTGTCTCTTAACACTGAAAAAACGGCCCCGGAGCCGATCGTAGCTCCAGAGGTACAACAAGCAGACGCCGTTATAGCGCCACCGGAGAACGAGAAGCCGGTGAAGGAAGCAGCTTCGCGGCCTCTGCCCTTCTGGAAGGTTGGCGCCTGTCTGTCCTGCATTTTTCTTCTCTCCTTATTTACACACAACTAACCCCCTAAAGATCTTTCAGTTCCGATTGTCCTTCTTTAAAGCTGACCATTCTCTACTATTGTTAAAGAAGCTAGCTCAAAAGTTCCCTGCTGAACAGTGACTGCAGCCAGGGGCGTCCATAGACGTCTCGCCGCCTGAGGTCCCATGATCCACATTCTGGAGTTAGTTGCTCTTGGGGCATGTTCCTGGTAGGGACGGGGTGGGACTGCTTCATGGAGGACATTCTGGGGGATTGGGGGAGAGTTGTGCGGCTTATGGTGCACGACGTCCTGCCTAGCTCAGTCAATGCTGCAGTCAATGTTTGGGCATTCTAATGGTGGCGAGCGCTCAGTTTTCAGCATACAATAGCTAGCTGGAGGGATTCCCCATCCATGCTGTTTAATGTGAATCAGCCATCTTTTCTTCAACCTGTATTACTCTATTGTTCTTGGCTTTACATGCCCTCTAATCCTTGGTGTCCATCATCCAGTCTTCTCTTCTTCATTATCAGGGACACGGCTAACTCACTAACACTCCTTCTCTCTCCAGTCTTTTAAAGCGGACCCCCAGCCTCCTAAGATCCCGGAGAATGTAAGTAGGCATGCCAAAATACTCCCATATGGGTGACATAAATGAGGAATAAAGCAATCCATAATATACTATACGATTCTTCCAATTCATTGCAGAGTAACTGACAATACAGTCATCCTATGTGCCCCATATAATGTACTTATAGACTAGTTAAAACCCAACTTCAGTCAAAAATGTGTGCATAGCAGGCAGGATCAACCTGCGTGCCCACTGAGAAGATTTTACCCCCATTTCTGTCAGCATAGGAAGTGACGGGACATCTCTCCATAAGGACACAAGCAGGGTAGAGAACATCTGATAATGTTTTAATGGCTGCCTGTGCCTTGCTGTAATGGTGACAATTGCTTTCCCATCTCTTGTCCACATATCACAGAGATAAGAGGTTGGGCTGGAGTTAGTGTTTTATATAGATAATGGGGGTGATTTACTAACCTAAACACACGCACGCACCAGGTGCGTGTGATTTTCACACAGAAAAACGTATTTATCAACCAAAAAGTCTCTAAAAGCATATTTCCACTAATGCCATGTATGGAGAAATCATGCACATGATGCATATATAATGCTGCTTCACAGTTTAGACAAAAATGGTTAGCTCATGCATTTACATTCCTGCATTCATCAACGCAAGCAACACAACGTAGAGCTAATTTACACAACATCACCTTGCAATTCATGCAGGGCTTTGCACAACACACCTGCTGGGTGTGTACACACTACAAAGGTGTCTAGATTCCACCAATAGATCATGCTGGGAGGGAACACACTACAGAGGTGTATACATGTTCGTGGTGTGTTTATAAGGTTAGTAAATCAACCCCAATGACTCGGGGCAGTGACATTTCCTAATTTGTCTTTGGAATTACAAAAGAAAAAAAAAAAGATTCTGAATGCTATATTTTAGAGCAGCATCTACAAATCCAAAAACAGTTTCAGTTTAGGGAGCAGCCAAGAGAATAAATCTATACCAGATTTCTGTGGTGAATGGCTTGTGAGGGTTCCGTCTTCACTGGCTTCATGGTTCTTGATCCAGGTCCGTGACTCAGCAGGTACTGTAGGCATAATGTAGATGACGGACCACCAGCAATGCCATACTAGACCAGATCACATATTCTAAGCAGAGATGTGCCCCTGGAAATATTTCAAAGTGGTACCAGTTATACATATGCAGAGTTTGGTCCTTCAGATTTGGAGAAACACCAACAATTTATATAACTAACACTAATGTTTTATTTCCATCAGTCCCCACCAGAGGAACCTGTGACCGTTCAACTAACCGAGACTGTAAGTGACCCTATTAACCTCTGATGAACCCTTAATATCACCTATTGTGTGTCTGATATAGCATATATACACAGGTAGACTCAATCCACCTGTTGCAGTCAAAGATAGATATACAAATAGTGTTGAGAGTAAGTAGCTGCACTCTATGGCAGAGCAATGGCTGGGTGCATCATGGATCTCACACACACACACACACACACAACCTATTGTAACCAACCAACAAATTCAGATCAAACATGGAGTCCTTCTTTTCCTGAGATCTTGCTGGAAAGTTGTTCAACCCACAGCAAAGGTCCCTCTCCGCCAATGCTCTTAGCTCCACCTCAGAGAAGGTCTCACTCTTGGCAGTCATTTTTCCCATTCAAATATTACAGTAATTGCAAGGAAGGAAGGGAGACTTCTTGTCTGGATTTGTACACAAACCCCAAGAAGGGGTAGCTGAACAGGACCTCCAGAAAGGTGTTTCCACCCCCTTTCTGGAGGTCATTGAGGGCCTTTTCACATCTTTTAGACCCTAGTAAAGCTTTGCACTCCGGAATAAAGATTTGGGTTTGTGAAGGTTCCAAATCAACCATCATATGTGAATGAATATACAATAGTCCCCGAATTCCGAGTTGTCTAACGTCCGCCATGAATGGGGAGTCATTGGGCTTGATGCTTCTTCTAGTCATGTTGCTAAGGCCATCAAATTGTTCTTCTTGCTCTTCCAAAATACCGTCTTTATCGCAGCATGTTGACTCTGGGAACAGCTTATTTCTTCATAATAAGGTTCCTTTAGGTTCTTGAGGTCTTTATTCTCCATAATAAGGTTCTTTTAGGTTCTTCAGAATAAGGTTATTTTACTATTCAGAATAAGGTTATTTTATGTTCTTCGGGTCTTTGCTCTTCAGAATAGGGTTCTTTTAGGTTTCTTCAGGTCTTCACTCTTTATAATAAGGTTCTTTTAGGTACTTTGGGTCTTTAGTGATAGAATGTTCACATTAGCAGCTGTAAATCCTCCATAACGCAATGCGGTCCGTCTCCCATTTGGCCTTAATTATACCCCATTACAAAATAAACTATTAAATGTAAGTATTGAAGATATTAGAATCACTGAACATGCTTCACTACATGTTGCCTTCTCTTCAGCCATGTTATTGGGAATATTTCACCTCTGTCATGAACTAACCCATGTTTCTATTCCAGGAACGGGTTCTCAAGAGAGCCCTCACCAAAGAATGCTCAGAGTCTGGGAACATTACCAATGATCTATAATGACTTTGCTTGTCCCTTAGTCTTCCTCAGAACCGGATTCCCAGTCCTCCAAACCAGACAGCAAGGCCAAGGCCAGCCCCGTCACAGAGGGCAAATCCCAGCAGGGAAAAAAGGCAGATGAGGGCAAAAACTCCAAACCCAAAATCATGATGTTCTTCAAACAGCTGGTAAGACACAGTAAAAATTAAAAGAACAGGCACAGAACTGGGTGGACTAACCCTTTAAGAGCCTTAAAGCCATAATGTTTTTTATGCATTTGACCTTTCTTCAACTTTTTTTTACTGCAGTCAAATTAACAACTGAAACACTTGTCTGTTACTTTAGTCAGTGATGGGTGACCCCAATAATGGCACGCCAGAGGAGGTTAACGGCAAAATCTCACCTGTAAGTGGACAGAAACTCTGGTGTGGTGGTGGGGACCACACTATCCTTCCTATAAATACAATATGGTGGTGGGAATCTCACTCTCCTTTCTCTAAACGCAATAAGAATGATATGTGATAGAAGAAGAGATGTGAATACCTTCTGTTCTAAAACTGGTGGAGAACTCTGAAGTATTTACAATGGAAAGCAAAAGTATAAAAGAAATATAAGAATTGATCATTTGACCATCAAACTCGTAGAAGTTCTTTAAAGTCAAACGAAGGAGCAAACTAGGATGGTGTGCTACCATGGATAGAAGGCTGAATACATTTTGTGGCTCAAGACAGACACATGAACATGCATATTTAGATTAGGGTGAGACCCTCTGACAAGTTTTGATTGCTATCTGTGGAAGATTCACCATCTTTATTTGTCCTGGTGACCATCATCACCGAGACAGGACATGAGGGGAGATGCAAAAGTTTAATGTCATCAGCAGAGTATGAGACTTCCAATGGAGACACCTGTCCTGGTTACAACTGTGTAAGATTGGAATTCTCAACTTGAGGGGATTTCTTCCCATTTCCTGTTGCATCTCGTCTTTGCTTGTTATCTAAGTACATGGATTTCTCAAAACTGCAAGCATCTTGACTAGTTTTTGTGGCGTTCCTCATCCACTGAAACCCAAATTTACCTGTGAGGGAATCCTTCCCTACACTAAAACTATGAATACATGTTTGGGCTGTATGTACCCTTTAATGTCACATCAGAAATAGGCCATGTACGTGGTTGAAACATCATATATCCCAGCTTATATTTCTGCTCGGTCTTTATCTTTGTAGACCTTGGACATCACTGATGGCGTGGAGGTGGGCAAATCTGAGAAGACTGTGGTCACAGCCGTGGTGGAACCTCCCCCTCCACCGCAGAAGGCCAAGGAAAACCCAAAAGAGAAGAAGGCCTCGTCAGAAAAGCTGGCCAAGCAGGAGAGCAGAGAGAGCCCTGAGGCTGCGGCCTCTTCACAGGCACAAGCTGTAGAGGCAGCGCCGGCGCAGAACGGAGCCGAATCTTCTAAAGATGGCCAGATAAAGAAAGTAGAGAAGAGGCAATCTCTGGGTAGTTTCTTCAAAGGCATAGTAAGTACCGTCAACTATTGAAGGGATGTGCTTCACTGGAAACGAGATAGCATTTCCGTTAGTTCTAGGAGAACAATCAAGTTCTCAGTGCCTCTGTCTGGGAGATTTCTCCTTACTTTGATGAGCGCAAGGCAGGAAGTAAGGAGAAATCCCCCCAACACAGACAGCGATAAAGAGTGAGGACGGTTCACATGCTCTATCAGGACCTTCATGGTTCATGAGGAGGTGGATTTGTGGAGGGTTGGATTCCCCGGTGTAAGTTGGTGTCCAGGTGGGTATGTCTTCTGCTGTGGAAGTTTTTATTTGGCAACAATCCAGCATATACAGACCATGACTAGGTTCTTGTACTAATATGTCCAGAAGTATATAGAGAGAAGAGAGCCAGGTTTATAATTAGGTCCAGATACAGTTAAAAAGCCAACACATTTTGGAGTGACTAAAATGTCTCCCCATCAGGGCTTAGAAATGATGGATTTAGAGAGATCTGGATGCTAGGTGATACATTTCCTAAAGCAGGGTAGGCAACCTTGGAACTCCAGCTGTTGTGGAACTACAAGTCCTGTGAGGCATTGCAAGACAAAGCATGATAGGTTTGGTAGTTTTAGCACAGCTGCAGTGCCAAAGTTGTCTAAAGGACAGATTTGGGTTTGGTCACAAAGCCTGCTTCAGTTGTTTGGTTTAGCAGCCCTATATGCTGGGACTAGAAGATGTTTAGCAGCTTTGTGCAGCTTTATATCAGATCCGATTCTCTCCAAGCTCAGTATAGGGGAGACGCAAAGCACACTCCGAGGCTAGGAGTAGAATCACATGTGTGACCTTAACCTTGTATACGTCACTGACCTCCACATGATCTTCACCACTTCTTGTTCTTCTGCTCCAGGGCCCCAAGCGGCTAATCGACGCAGAGGTCCAGACAGATCCGGTCTCCATCTTGCCTGCAGAGAAAGCCAAGTAAAGGTCGGCATGACACCAAGACGGAGCAATCTATTGTGGGCGGAAGGGGCGGCTTCCGCTATTGTATATTTCAGGTGTAATTTGTACAGAGTTAGTTAAATACAATACAGACACATTTTCAGCACCGGTCAGATCACAATAATATGAGAATTTAACCAGATAAAAAAAAGAAAGCATGAAAAAAATAGTGTGAGATAAACCAGATATTACTATAGCAGAGATGAGCTTACAGCGAGTGTGAGGGGGTCATTGCATGCACTGACCCTCACTGATGGCACCAATAAACTGATACAGTACGACACTACTATATAGGTAACAGATAGAAATTAAAGTCACCCTGTCACTCTTCAAACACAGGCACAGCGTTGTAGAACCTTAATGAACAATGTAGAAATTGTTTCCACTTTCGCCATAAAAAAATCACCAGCTCTACAGCCTGTGGTAGTTGCATGGAGTCTTGGCACCGACACTGCAGGCATTATTTTAAAAAAGGTCAAAATGCCTTTCAGGTCTGTCTATGGGGCCGATGAATGACATATTGACCAGAACTGCTCCTATCCAGGAAATGCAGCATGCAAATGGAACGTGCAAATGAATACAGAGATGAAACAGTGGAAATATGAGTCTTCTGAATGGCTTTGTATGAGAGGATTGCCAACACAACATCTAGGACCACAGTGCAAATCCCGAGTCACATACATGACCTGGCCACGGCATTGCAAAGTGCAGCTTATCGCACTCGGCTCACAAGAACGAGACTTAAATATACACACAAGCATGTAAATAAGAACATTTCGGGCCAGAGACTACACTGAAGCCAAAGCTTCAGTATCCCAGCCAGGGGACACCCACTGGAGCTCAACAATGGCACCCTACTTAATTCTTATATGACCGGTGTACTTTAAAACCAATTTTCCCACCATTCTTACATTCCATACAAATTCATTAACATTCAGTAACACCAGCCTGGATTCATCAAGCTGCAATAGTACATAAAGCACTTTAACGAGGCACTGCCCAATAAGGACAAAATGGCGGTGTTAGTACATACCCTCAAGGCCTCCCCGGGCATATATACACTTATCTATGCATGCACCCTCGCTGCCTTCCAGCATTGCCATAGCCCTTACTAATGGATCTGGGCTTCAGGGAGCACATGACCATCCCTATTGGACCTGGGCGGCCAGTCATTAGGTCTGAACACTGACATCTGGTGGGGAGCCATGACATCATCGCCCTAGGCTCCAACGACTGTCAATACTGCAGCCGGGATACGGCAAGAGAGTGTGGAAGGGTAAAAATAAATGCCCGAGTTGAGGGCTAAGTACACAGGCACCATGCCCTGCATTAGCAAAGTGACACTGCCTATTTATAAGGCATGCTAAAATGACCTGTGGCACTTATGACCAATAGGCCACGTCAGCATGCCTAAGCGCCACAGGTCATTTTAGCATGACTTAAAGTGAAGCGGTCACAAATCGGGTCACTTTAAACTGATTGCAGAATGATAACATACACAAGTATCATGTTTGTTATAGCAATGAGTAGATCCAGAGTAACAAGAAGCTGAAACTATAAGCAAACCTCCACTTTACCTGTAAAAGTTAAGCCTGGCATCAGCCATTCCTGGCTATGGGGTCTCTTCTTTGGTCAGTAAGGCTGCCTATCATATAGAACCAACAGGCGTTGGGACAGGGGCAGAGCCATGGCTGACTTTTACAGGGTGGCACTTGCATGTAACACATTTGCCTATACAGTACTTTATATGTTCGGTTTGAATTGTTCAGGCTCGTGACAGGTCCACTTTAAGCGCAATGCAGCAATCCGGCTGCGGGAACCAAAACAATCTCATATAATTGCAGATCGAAAAGGCCACTAAAATTTCCCTAGGAAGGCTCAGCATGTTAAGAACGAACCTGAATGTTATATGTTTAGATGACGCTATGTTAGCAGAAGCTTCAGTACAATATACACGTTATACGATTGATTGGGTGATCTCTAGTAAAATTACATAAAGCGGCCAGCAGGGGGGCGACAACCCTCCAGGGCGAAATCATTGTACAATAATGGGAAAATCTCCATTCGTAGCATACCAAGTCTAATCTAAGCGGCTGTTTGATGACTTAAAACACTAAAACCGTATATATATTTCATAATCAACCGGCTTCTGACACCGTTCTAGTAACTAGATGTTATATGGAAGTTGTTTTAACATGGCGCCCTTTTTATTCTTTCCTCATGTACCAGAAATGATATCCGAACTTGCTGTGCTTTGCAGCCATTTGAAATTAAGTTTCATTTGATGTAAAGAGATTAAATAAATTCATTGTATTCCTAAACGTTGTCACCGTTTCCTGCGTCCGGTTTATTTACAGGATCGGCGAGCTGGTAACCAATTCAATAATATTGAACCATTTTGGGCTCATTTTAGCTTTTGGGACTAACGCATTTCCACCAGAGTAACACGCATATGCTTACCTGAACAGTACCAGCCTCACCAATAGAAAGCAATTCACAGACAATTTTCCTGAAACATGAGGGATTTTATCCTCCGAACAGTCAGAAATGAAAGTTTACTCTCTCTACACGGACCACAAGTCCATCTAAAACATAAATAGGACTTATTTTTTTTACTCTCCATAAAATCTGTGTGTTTATTGAAAGACAGCCAGATTTGGATCTTCATTACATAGTTTTTCTATCACCACCTGCAGGATTAGAATGGCAAGCAGAGAAGCAGCTTGTAGCGGTCCCCGGTGATAGTTAAACCTCCCGACTGCAACAATCAACCCACTGATTGGTAATCGGAAACATAAAGGGTAACAGTAAAAACATCATGAGGGTGGGTGCTGTATCCTTCAATAAACGTAGATAACTACAACAATTACATTTTCTTTTCCGTTCATTGAAGGACACAGCCAAATCCTTAAGATCTTCACTATATGGGACATACCAAAGCAACGTAACAGGTGGGCAAAAACAGACCAACAACACTGTCAAAAAGATGCTAATACCAGTCTGCAAGACCTTGCATCCTCAGACCCCACAACATGAACCCTATAAAACCAAGTTGAGAACTATGAGGCAAGTGCTTTTCACTCACCTCATAGTTCTAGCCGACCTGTGACTGTGTCGGCTCAGTAGATCGGGAGGTGAGCGAACACATACCGGCGTTCGCTCACCTCTCAATCCTGTCACAGCTCTTTGCCGTGACAGGGGAGGGGCTGGATTCCCCCCCCCCCTCCATCGCTGACTTGTGGAACGGACGGGGAGGGGGCAGGTACAGCTGGCTCTGCCTCTAGATAGGCAAAGCCAGCTGTCAGTCACGCAGCTGGGCGGATCCCGGCACAATTGTCGGGATCCGCTTCAGCGTCTCAGTATACCGCGAGCAGCAGCTCAGTATACTGAGCCTAGGGTGACGGGAGGACGCTAGTTTGTGTCCTCCCGTTAACCGGAGAACTATGGGGAAAAGCCTTAACCCCATAGTTCAAGTTCTCCTTCAAGGACAGACGACCACATGGCAACCTTACAAACCTGGATAATTAAAGCATGGTGATGAAAAGCCTAAAAACCCCTAGAAGTGGCAGAGGTTTTCAACCCTTAAAGAGGAACTTTACCCATATCTGCAAAAGAACAAAAAAACCCTCTTTAGAAATGTTTAGTAATAACAATCTACAGATATTAAAGAAAAAAATCAGTGACTATATTCTTTGCATACCTTATTTCTCTTTTCTTCCCCATTGTTCTGACAACTTAAAACTAAGGACAGGTTACTAGAATTCCCTTTACTTCCTGGAAGTCTGGTACATGTGACCATGCACATGATCTCAGGGGAGTAAAATGCCTTGCCGAGATCTTTGATTACAGATGAGATTCCCCAGCAATACTTTGCTGGTGTAACCTTCCCAGGATGCAATGATTGGGCACATTACATCACTTTTGCACAAAAAAAAACAGGAACGCAAAAAAATTAAAGCAAAATTAAAATAAAGTTTAATGAATGTAAGATTTCATATCAGCATGTAGAGCTGCACATTGTGATTTTTAGCCAATAGGGGTAAAGATCCACTTTAAGCACATGCGCCTGACCTAGTCTGATGAATCCAGCTAGATATAGTGGCCAACGAGGCAGCCTGTCCTTTCCTGGGAGGATGCATGACAACAAAAACCCATCTTCCGAAAAGGACGCCACTGCCAGGTGGACCTGAAAAGTCGTGACAACCGCCAAAGAACGAAGCTCCACCTCCTTCAGATGGGACACAAGGATGGCAAAACAAGTCCTCAGGCAGGAAGGATCACCGAGGCTTGACTATCATGAAGTAGGACTAAAAATCTCTAATATACGGTTGAATTGACGCGATAGCCACCAAAAAGCCAACCTTGTTAGATAAGGCCAAGGATATCTTCTGAATATTCCCAAAAGGAGACTACTGCAAGACAGAACCAAGTTCAGATCCCACAGCAGCAAACCTGGTTTTCAAAAGGAGGCGCAAGACAAGTGTTACACCGGATAGAAAAGGTAGAAAAACCATAGAATGCGTTGCCAAAGGATGCGGGGGGGACTGCCTAGGCAGATAAGTGACCTTTCACGGTGAACTAAAAATTATACACCCGCTGTGTGTCCAAATGTACATTTACTGGGAGCTGGACTTACAAGCTCACAGATTGTGGAAAGGGACAAGAAATTCCCTAGGTCCCAACTCCTGAGCGCTAGGCAAAAAACTGGGTTAGTCTGAGTGTTGTACCACCAGCAGGGAACGCCCCTGGGCTGCTTCCTTGCCTCATGTTCTACTCCTGCAGGTTGCAATATAAAACCCATATGGTTAAGATTCGGCTGTGTCCTTCAATGAATGGAAGGGATTTGGCTTTTGTAATAAAGGTGAAGAATCAGGCTGCAAGATGGAAACCACCATATTAATGTTCTTCTGAGGGGCCTTACAAGCTATACAATCCTTGCCAGAGGTTCTCAACCTTACATGCAATAATTAAGCAAAGACTACTTAGTCATGGCACGCTCTCCTCTGCTTTGAAGCAGACATATCTGCAAACACATACAAGTAGAAACCACCACACACTTCCTAAACACTACTCACAGCTTCAAGCGTGTGAAGCGAGAAGGGTAAATGAGGAACCTAGCTCAGCAGCTGCCATGAATCATCCGTTACAAACACTAATCCAGAATCAGTGGAGTCAATAGAAGATATTCAAAGACATCACTGTTAAGTCCCCAGCCCATTAAAGAGGCAACAAACTTAAGAGTAGCAACTCCCCAGCAGGCAACATAACCAAAATTAATGACTTGATGGCCCTGTTCCTTTAATACAGGAACCCTCAGATAATGCTAGCATGGACAAATAAATGCTGCAACTTCCACAAGAACTGCAGCACAACAATACCAAAGAAACTTGCAGGATTTCACATCCGGTATGAATTTTCAGGGTCAGCTAAAGTCACAAGATTTAATTCTATCCAGTATGAAATTACGAACCAGGTTTAGTCTCTTCAATGAAATACTAAAAGTCCTGAGGACACCAAGCCAAATAATTGGTAGCTGTGGGAGGGGTCATTATGGTGGCAGGCTTTTTAAGTGGGTTTGCCAAATGTCCATTTCTCCTAGAGGCAGTAGCATAACCCCATAAGATTTCTTCAGAGCCGTGTCCCTCAATGGACAATCGAGACATGCACAACATTCTTGGATGGAAAGGCGGGGTGGGTGGTGACAACTCTGGTCACATTGCACCCCGACTTAGAGCCCAGAAGCAGTTTTGTATGAAGGTGACTGCGTGATGCAAGCTTAGATTTTTATACTTGCAGCTGCCCTCACTACACAAGTTTTGATATACACCCAGTTGGTGTGTAAAGGATAATTTTGCCCAAAATGTGACAACTTCCACAAGTCAATCAATAAGCGATACGTAAAACAAGTTTTTAATTTTCTTTTATTTAAGATTTAGAAACATTTATAAACAATTAAAAAAGACAGAACACTAGAGAAATATTGTAAAACATTTACATGCAAGATCGGATGACCCATTCACAGATTCAAGCAGCTGTTCAGTGACTGCACGAGCAGCCAAATAAATACATCAAGGCATTCGTGTCGCTATTGCACTGGTCACCCAACCCTGAACAGTCCCTGCCTACAGCTCTGCACTTTCCTAGGCTCTACTGGACAGTCATCCATCACCCGCTCTGAACCAAGTGTGGTCTTCTGGACAGCAGGATAGAAAAGCGGTCCTCCATTGAAAACAAACAACTTAAATACACTTTCATAGAACGTTCATGCATTTATGGCCCTCAGCTTGCTGCAATGGACATGCTATTAACACAGCAATGCAACAGATCTATAAAGTTATCAATACAGTCATGAAGTGTCTCACTGCAGCAAGTGAGATAAGAGCTCAGCTGTCCTATGGACGAGAACAAGCAGAGGGCCATAAACCGCTAATAAATGCCTATGCAAGCAGACTTAAGGCGTTGCACTTTCCTGGAGAACCAAAATAGGAAATTCAATACAAACTGGATTAAAAGCTTCCTTGTCCAGTTAAGATGCTGAGGACCCAAGTGCATCAGGTGAACATAGAATATAAGATGCTTGTTTTGTGGAGAGATTTGAGAAGAGCCAATGCAGGAAGCAGTATCGCAACACAGAGGTCTCGGCTGTTTGTCATAGGGTTTTCGCTGTGCTACTGCCAGCCTTTGTTGGTCGTTTGGTAGAGTTTTGGACCACCCATGGGTGTTCAAGGACATCTTTCAGTGGCATCCTCTGGTCTGGGTTATGCTTCAACAGTTTGGAGATGAGATCCCTTGCTCCCTCTGACACGTATGGGGGAAAGTGGAAATCCACCTGGAAACCAAACAGACGCCATATTAGTATGGGCATAAGCACTTCCTGACTTCTCCCTACAGTCATAGTCCACAGATTGAACACATCGCCCTATAGTGGGAGCTACACAACAAGCATATAGTAGCAATCCATTACTGGGCTTAAGTGTATTCAGTTGTGTAGCCAAATTGGGATAACGCCTTCTTACATGTTCCTATTCACATGTGTGCCATTTTACATTTTTACTTGTTTTCTGGAAATGTAAAAACTGAAGTCATCCCATAGTTATAGGAAGGGGGCTGTCACCATCATAAACTTGGTCTGTACTGTGCTGGCAGATCTCATTCACTATGCAAAGCAGTTCTGCAGCTTTGATTTCCCAGTGTCCAATAACCTGAACATACCTTAATCTGCTTCAAACAAGCAGAAAGTCAGGAGTTTAGCATGTTGTGTGAATGGGATGTAAGAAATACTAAGACCTCAACTACCCAATTTTTGCAACAGATAAGTCATTCATTACAAGTTAAAACATTCAAATCAACCATACAGGCTCAGCACCAAGACCTCTACCTTAGAGATCCTTCGATAGGTTTCCTGGTGGGTTTTTGTCTCAAATGGAGGTATCCCCACAAGAAATTCATAGCACAGAACACCAAGGCTCCACAGGTCCACCTTCTCATCATGCATTCGTCCCTCAATCATCTCTGGGGGTAAATAGTCCAGTGTGCCACACAACGTGGTCCTCCTGAGAAGTGAAGGAAAAATAAGAACGTTACCACATATCAGATGTCAACTCCAGTTCAGCTGCTACAACACAAATAGGATGTTTACCCCGTTAATAGGTTTGTAAAATAAGCTGCACACTTGTTGTATCATCCCTGCTGTGCTTTAGTAGTTTGTGCCTCTGCATGCATTTTAATTGAGTCATATGTTGTTTTGGATTTGAGGTGAGGCACAGACTGATGTGCTCTTATTCCACACGACCACAAATCAGCAGGACCTGCATGCACCTAGTACCCTTGGGGATTTAAAGGAGAACTATGAGGCGGGTGCTTTTCACTCACCTTATAGTTCTAGCCGACCTGTGACAATGAGACTGTCACAGGTCGGCTCAGTAGATCGGGAGGTGAGCGAACACATACCGGCGTTCGCTCACTTCACGATCCTTCACGATCCTGTCACGTGCCTGCGGAGGGGCTGGATTCCCCCCTCCCCTAGCGCTGACTGGCGGAACGGACAGGTGAGGGGGCAGGTACAGCTGGCTCTGCCTCTAGATAGGCAGAGCCAGCTGTCATTTACGCAGCTGGGCGGATCCAGACAAATCGCAGGGATCCGCTTCAGCTTCTCAGTATACTGCGAGCTGTATACTGAGCTTAGGGTGATGGGAGGACGCTAGTTTGTGTCCTCCCGTTACCCTAAGGAGAACTATGGGGAAAAGCCTTAACCCCATAGTTCTCCTTTAACAAGGATTGGCACACAATGTGTCAATACTTTAAAAGGCTATGTAGAGTTTGGAGTAGGGAAGGGTTACAACTATCCCATTTAGAGATATTTTCTCATTGCCACAGAGATGCCACCGGAAGTGAAGTAAAGGGAAATTTTTTAATTCATTGTCAACAGAACGTATTCCTGCATTGGAAATTACCTTTATTTCGGTTGCAGACAACCATAAAAAGGTCAGGATTTCCCACCAAGATCTTTTCTAGCGCTTACCAGAAAAGATGTTGTATCTCCCCAGCGAGTACGGATGATAAATAAACAGAGATTTTAACAGCGGGTTCTTCCATCAAACTCAAATTGGGAGGTTTACCACATTAGACGACTTAATGTAGATCAGGGGGTAGCCAAACTGCGGCCCTCCAGCTGTGATAAAACTACAAGTCCCATTAGGTATTGCAAGTCTCTTGACAGCCACAGGCATGGCCTACCGAGGCAGATTCATGATAGTATTTGTAGTTTCCCCACAGCTGGAGGGCTGCAGTTTGGCTACCCCTGGTGTAGACCAACTAGATCATTTGGCTTAAAGAGAACTATGAGCCGAGCGATTTTCACTCAACCTCACAGGTCAAGCCAACCTGTGACAATGAAACAGTCACAGGTCAGCTCTATAGACCGGGACGTGAGCGAATCTATACCATCGCTCGCTCACTTTCTGATCATCTCCATGCAGAGAGTGGCGACTGTCAGTCACTGCTCCCCACAGGGATTCCCCCATCCCCGCTCTGATCCTCCAGCGCTGACTGGAGAAACGGATGGGAAGGGTACAGCTGGCCTCTAGATAGGCAGAGCCCACTGTCACTCATGCAGCTGGGTGGATCCAGACAGCATTGTCTGGATCCATCCCGGCTGCATCGCTCAGTATAGAGCGAGCAATAGCACGCTACATACTGAGCTTTGGGTCACGGGATGATGTTAGTATATGTCCTCCTGTGACCCTTGAGAACTATGGGATATAAAGGTTACCCCATAGTTCTCTTAATGGTGCAGCAACTGAACCATGGCAAAGACCAACACAACTGGATATTCTAGTGCAAGTCTTGAAGAATAAGAGGGCATCAACTAATGCAATCATCAATTTTAGGCAACAGTCACTTTATTAGGAAAGGCCAACAGCTCCTAAAATAACCATGTGGGACTCACCGAGATGACGGGGCATGCACAGACCAGCCAAAATCTGCTATTTTAAGTTCCCCGTTGGCACCAAGGAGCAGATTTTCAGGCTTGATGTCCCGATGAATCACCTTCTTGGTATGGCAATACAGTAGAGCATCAGCCAGTTCTGTTATGTACTGCAGGGGGAAAAAAAAAAAAGCCAAAATCAGTGCCGGCAGCAAGAAACAGAATCCCACCTTATGTAGTTATCGGATCTGGATCAGTCCACTTACAGTAGCAGTTCGCTGATCATCGAACCGCGTACACCGTTGCAGCTCCCGGAAGAGCTCCCCCCGGGGAGCATAGTCCAAGATAAGGTAGACTCTAGTGGCATCATGAAAATAGCCATATAGCCGTAGAATGTTGGGGTGCCTAGAGGACAAAAAGAACCATATCACAGGAGAACATGTAATGTCACAGTCCCCACCTCTAACATGTAGTTTACCATCCCTTTTCGGTTGATTTCCCTGTAAACAAATCTGCCTTTATTACCAACATAGGGAACATGATGCTTGCCAGATTTCAAAAGAAACTTCTTAGAGAACTATGAGTGGGGGTGCTTCTCACTCACCTCATAGTTCTAGCCGACCTGTGACAATGAGACTGTCACAGGTCGGCTCAGTAGATCGGGAGGGGAGCGAACATATAACGGTGTTCGCTAACCTCTTGATCCGTGAGCAGAGAGCCGTGACAGGGGAGGGGCTGGATTCCCCCCTCCCCACCAGTGCTGACTGGCGGAACAGATGGGGGAGGGGCGGGTACAACTGGCTCTGCCTCTAGATAGGCAGAGCCAGCTGTCACTCACTCAGCTGGGCGGATCTTGACATCGATGTCGGGATCCGCTCCAGCGTCCCAGTATACCGCGAGCTGTAGCTCACGGTATACTGAGCTTAGGGGAACGGGAGGACGCTAGTTTGTGTCCTCCCGTTACTCTTAGGAAAACTATGGGGAAAAATACTGACCCCCATAGTTCTCCTTTAACCTACGGTGGTCAGCTATATGCAGACTGTTACCAAGTCCTAGAAGTTAAGCAGCATTAAATATACAAAGCTGAATTATAACTAAACCCCAAGAGCATGCAAGACTCATGGCACACGAGCACGCGTCGCATTCATGTGCTTGGGTTGAAAGAACTCATACAGAGGGATCTAGGACAAGTTAAACGACATAATGCACTGCTGTTTCAGACTTCAGTTACACAAGTTGCCGATTTGAGCAGATAATTCAATTTTACCAAGTTAATGGGAAAGAAAGCTAACCCTTTAATGCACATTGTATGTTACAGCGCTGCTGTCTGGCTACCACAATATGGCTTACAGAGAATGGGGCAGAACTCAATGCCCCATGCGTGCGTTTATTCAAATGCACATGGCAGGGAGAGTTTTAATTTACTTGATTTTTGGTTTAGCTTTCACCTTTATTCCCCCACCCACTAAGCCCCTGTGTGATATCAGTAAAGTTAACAAGCCCCTGCGTGAGTGTTAAGTGACAGGTTCTCTTTACTGAACCTGTCACTTCCAATACAAGAGTTTCAGCACTATCTCCTCTGACAGCTGAGACAGGAAGGCAGAGTACAGCTCTTCAGTGTTTACATGGAGAAGACCGGAGAAAGGACTTTCTCTGCTCCCCATCCTGAACTAGGTTTGCCGTGGCCCCAGATGAGCAGGGGACCCTTAAAACCACAGCAGGGAGAGAAGCAGCTGACCTGGGTGGGGGTATTAGACAAGCAAGCTGCTTTCCCGTAATCACTTGCACAAAATGGCTTCCCTGAATGCCAAAGTAGGGCTAAATGTAGAAAATAAAAAGAATAAAAACTGCCCGGTGCCCAGAACTGCATGTCACAGACATCCGGTGATAGGAATTCCACACCCCTGAGGGTTAAAAAGGAGGAAGGTGATGATACAAAGTCACACCAGCCACAAACTGTGTTGCTATCCAAATCTTGATAGCACTCTGACCGCCAAGCTTTCATGATCCTTTAAACAAATTTTAAAGGGCACGCAGGACTGACCGCTTTTCGCAGACCTCCAGGAGCATGCTGCTTCCGTACAAGCAAGCCGCTTTGTGACCACCAATCAGTCCACAGGCTGACCACAACCTCAAAAACAGCCGTTAACCCCTTCATGACTGAGGCCCTTTTTTCAATTTTTGCACCCATGTTATATTCCACATTTTAGGCCTGAAAATGACGTAAAACCCCCCAACATTATATATTTTCTGAATGCCAAGACCCTATAGAATAAAATGGTGGTAGTTGAAAATTTTTATGTTGCGCAATATTAGCGCAACTCCTTATTAAACCCCAAAATTTAGTGACAAATTTAATTAAATGCCCCAAAACACAACAAATTACCCATTTTTTTAAATGAAATATAAAAGATGAGGTTACAACGAGTAAAACGATACCCAACATGCCCAGTTTACAGATTGCGTGCGACCGTGAAACGGCGAAAAACTGCAGTACCCCAAAAAGTCAATAAAAGACACTTTAAAAGCCCCCACAGGTCATTTAGAAATACCCCAATACTGGCCCTAGGATTACTGCTCTCACTCCGGCGTGCGCGGCGATACCCAACATGTGTAGCGCGTTCGTCGTTTTCATGCGTAGGCGCACCCGACGCGTGTTTACGTGGCGACGCGCGTGCTCGCGGGGGCGGGGGACTTTTAAATTTTTTTTTATTATTATTAGATTTATTTTATTTCATTTTAATTTTAAAAACTTTTTTTTTTTTTTTTTTTACTTTACTTTGACTGCTATCACATGGGGGGGCTTGCAAGCCCCCCCATGTAATAGCAGATGGTGGTGACAGGTCCTCTTTAAGGTGATGCTGGGGGTCCAAAAGACCCTCAGTGTCACCTTTACACTGGAAATAAGCTATTGAAGTGCAGATCGCACTTCAATAGCTTATAGCTGGGCTGCAGGAGCCCAGAACTGACAGCCCAGGGACCGGAAGTGATGCAATCTGCATCGCTCCCGGTCCCATAGAACGGGGAGGGGATCGATGAACGGAAGTTCGTCGACCTCCTCCCCAGCTCCCCGCGGACACAAAGATCGCCGGTCCCGGGCCCGTAGGAGGGGCAACGGAGCCCGGGAAGCACGGCAGGGGTGTCCGGCGGGGGGGCGGCCCCTTCTTCGGGACGCAGAAGCGATCTGGCGACAGGTAAGTCGCCAGGATCGCTTCTGTTGTAAAGCCGACAGTCGGCTCTGCAAGTTTAAACAGTCCCGGCGGCAAAAGTCGCCGGGAGTCTGTTTAAACAGCCCCGATGCTGGCGACGTACACTGTACGTCGTCAGTCACGAAGGGGTTAAACTACACTACACAAGAGAAAGCCTTCTCGTCTAGCTCCACACTGTACAGTCCGAAAACTATTAACCATAGTCTCCCCTTCATTATGAAGACAGACTTCATTAGTATTCTGCGCATATTCCTCCCAGAATTCTTGCTTATGGCAAAGAGGGCAGATCTCACTGTATATAGTCCTCACCTCGGTGAACACTAACCAAGGACATCCCTCCTCACATTTATGCCATCTTACTCCGTCTTGGTGACTGGCTGAAATTCTTCAGCAACTAACCTAAATCATGGTGTTATAAGACTGCATGACTGGAAGGTACAATAAGGTGATAGCTATACCAAATAAACCTTCCTGTATCCACAAAGTCTTTACCCAGTGAACACTGACCAAGGATGCATCTACAAAGTCTTGGCCCGGTGACCACCGCGATCAAGGATATGCCATCCAGGTTTCTGCCATCTTTCTGCTCCAGTCACAACCAAGCTGAAATTCTTTAGGCACTAGACTAAGTCTATGTTGTTGTAGGCTATATGACTGGCGAGCACAATAAGGTTAGAGCAGCTCCAGCAGCCCTATACACTGCCTATCTGCGCAATTCCAACCTGGGAAAAGTAAAGTGTTCAACGCCAAGAGAAAGGAGTCTGTTCCATCCATTCTATAGCCAACACGCACCCAGTCTTCTATAGCCAACACGCACCCAGTCTTCTATAGCCAACACGCACCCAGTCTTCTATAGCCAACACACACCCAGTCTTCTATAGCCAACACGCACCCAGTCTTCTATAGCCAAAACACACCCATTCTTCTATAGCCAACACACTTTTGGCGATTGTCATGGCTGCTACTGCCGAGCTTTACACAGATCCTCCTATGTATAAGACAGCTGATAAATCCTTGATGAAAAAGAACCAACCTCAAGTGTGACTGAATCTCCACCTCCCGGCGCAGCTGATGCTCAACGTTGGCTTTTTCCAGCTGAGTTTTAAAGAGAACCTTCAGTGCCAAGATGAATTTACTTTGCTTCTCCCGGGCCAGGTACACATTGCCAAACTTTCCTTTACCTAAAGGACGGCCTATCTCAAAGTCCTCCAGAGACCACTGCTTCCTGCGGGGACAAAAACAACAAATTAGAGAGCATGTGACCAGATACCCTGAACTAGGACGCAAGGTTCTCAAAGCATTAGACAAAGGACACAAAAAAGTGAAGGTTTGCCATTTTATAGGGAAAATCTAGAAAATGTTAATTGTGCCTACACATCATACTAAACAATCTACCTTTTGCAAAAAAAAAGTCCATAACTTCAGGTACTGCTACCTGACTGCTTTTCTCAGATAGCGTTATTTGGTGAAACCAGTACTGTGCTGCTTATAGTTCTGCTGGAGGGGAAGCTGTACAGGCAAACCTGCTGTGCAAGGTTATCCGCTTCATTAGTGGAATATGCCTCAGCATCCTCACGTCTTTATAGACGCAATTTACAGGACCTTAGACCACCGCAGAGGAGAGACTAGTACTGGTCTGTGACATACTCAAGACAAGTTTGTCCGCCTCTGGTTTTCTTTGCGGAGGAGATGCTACAACCCGATGATCAATAGCTCCTAGCACACCCAGTCACTAGCCGAAAAGTGTAGAGTGAAAAATTGATTTGAGCGACTGTGCAACCTTATATAAACAGGTATTCGATAAGATTGTAATCGCATCACATACACCCTGCCCTCCCCAGACATTGACTGCACAACCCAGCAAGGGTCTAGCTGCTAAAGAGCCCCAGGCCGCCATAGCAGGAGTCTGGACAGACGCAGGAGAAAATCATTGTCCAGAGCTCCTTGGGAGTACAAGATCTAACAAGGGGTGAGTGCAGACAGTCTTGATAAAAAGGTTACACAGTATAACCTACTTAAACATAACCCCACAATAACGCAACCCATACACTAATAAGCATGTCTTCACATTGTCTAATAAACCGGCTGAGCGAGTATAACTTAACCTAGACACAAGGTATCACTTCATTTAAAAACCCCACCAGTCAACATTGTGGGCAGAACTGAAATGAGAGCAAACCAAGGCAGGGCAAGTCAGTGGTGAGGAAAGATCAGCTGAAGGATGCCCCCAGTCAATAGTAGGAACTAGTACTTTTACGCTCCACTTGTTTTTTGACCACAAGCATTAATTGCTCATTTTTCTAGTGACAAAAACCACACACACAAAGCTCCAAAACCAGCCAGCTGTCAATGCTCCCTGCAGCCTGTATCCTCCACCGCAGCATTAGAACCTTCCTCAGCATCCTCAGTGTATAAACGTGATGATTTACAGGACCTTATACCTCTGTGGAGGAGGAGAGATAAGGACCGGTCTTATAAGAAGTCAGCTTTGAGCAAGTACAACTTTTTTTTTTAACCTAGGCACAAGCTAGCACTCAACCTTTGCACTGTGGGGGTAGCCCCACTTAACAGGTTAATATAGGGATGCACCGATACCGCTATTTTGGTACCGAGTAAGAGTAGCGATAATTTTTCGGTATTCGCCGATACCAATTACCGAAAGTCCCTTGCAGGAAGCCAGGTGGCATGTAAAAATGTGCCACCCAGCTTCTCTATTAAGAAAGTCTGTCCCCTCACCTTCGGCATGTCCAGCCTGTCACCCCCGGGGTCTCTCCAGCCAGGAGCAGCCTTCCTCCGATACCCAGCCGGAGACGTCTTGCTGGCCAATCATGGAAGCCGGACGCCGTGTAAAGATGCTTTCCGATTGGCCAGCTTCATGCTCTCTCATCACAAGTGACGAGCATGGAGCCGCTTCCCTGCCAATCAGGAAACCGGGCAGCGTGTAATGATGCACTGCCCGGCTTCCTGATACAGGAATTATCGGGCTAGGCATCGGAGCATTTGGCCAAGTACGAGTACTCGCTCAAATACACTTATCGGCACCAATATCGATACTAGTATCGGTGCATCCCTAGTTAATACATGCCTGGAGTTCTTTAAAACCCCACCAGTCATCATTGAGGGAAGCTCTGAAATGAGCACAGCCCAGTGGTGAGAAAGGGTCAGCTGAAGGATGCCCCCAGTCAATAGTAGGAACTAGTCCTTTACCCTCTGCTTGCATTTTGAGCACAGCTTCTACAGTACATGTGCTCTTCAATAACCCCTTTCAACCAATAGTAAATTGAAAAAAAACAAAAACACACTCACTTCTTACATGGAACATTAGACATAGTAGTAGTGGAGGATACTGATAGGCTTGAATCGACAACAACTTTCCTTTCTGCAGGGGGGGCAGCTGAAAAACAAAAGGAAGGTTACTTGAGCAAGCTTCCATAGATCTCCCTGTGCATAACACTACACAGGACTAGATTTAGTTTAGTCCCAACAGACACTCACCTGTAGAACTATTTGATAAAGCCGGGTCTCTGTTTTCATTCGCTGGCTGTGTGCGGGATGCAGTCTGCACTTGCTGCACAGGCTTAAGTGGAGCCTGATTGGTTGTCTGGGGGCTTACTTGCTTTTGATTGTTTACAAGTGGTTTCTGAGATAGCACTCTCTGCGGAACATTAGAGGAACAAGGCACTCTCTTTGCAGCAAGGGCGGTAGCAGGCTGCTTCACCTGGGTCATCTGTTTCTGCTGCTGCTGTTGTGTCACCGGGATCCGTTTGGGGCCATCAGACAGAGAAGGCAAGTTCTAAAGAGACAATATTGCCATCAACAACCAAGCGGAACATTAAGTGGCAGCAGGCAAAGGATATTTTAAAAAAAATGTCCTCTCCCCACATCAATACAAAGAAAAGAGAAAAATTGAGAAAGCAGGGACACATCAGATAGACTAACAGACAATCAAAGCTGGAGCAGTAGAACGAGCTGTTGCCTATGGCAACCAACCAACCAGCTTCTCTTCAGTTTGTTCAGTTAAGGCTTGCAAAAGAAAAGTGGATACAGATTGGTTGCCATGAGTAACTGCTCCAGTTTCTGTCTGCTTTAGTTTTGATAAATTCCCCTCAATATATATCCTTTGATATCTGTGATCCTCGGCCCGGTGATTGCAGTGCTTAGCAGGCAGTGCGCGCTTGCGCACATGGCCTGTGCGGCATTCGTTTTCCGAGCACACCACCAACTCGCCCAAAAACATACGATTTCGGCAGATTTTCCAGCGTGCTCTGAAGACGCAAGTGGTGCAACCTTACAGTAGAAGCGGTCGCACGCTGCCCATACACCTGCCGATTATCGTACGATCACCCGCAATTACCGCACGATAAATCGGCAGGTGTAAGGGCACCTTAAAGCTGCCGGAAGCCAAAGGAAATTATACGGGATTCATATAGAGCCTACAGTTTGCACAGCGCTTTACAATACAAGGAAGACATTACAATCACAATACAGTTCAAGACAAGATGGTAAGGAGGGCCCTGCCCGTAAGAGCTTACAATCTAAAGCTGTTTGGGGAGGAATTGCTTGAGAAGGCTTCCCTGAAGAGACGAGTCTTTAGGGATTGCCTAAAGGCAGTCAGATTGGTAAATAGTGGGATAGGTTGGGGTTAAAGAGTTCCAGAGGATGGGAGGGACTCTAGTGAAGTAATGGAGAGCATGGATGGGGACACACTTTATGCCAGCAAAGGTCAGTGGATGGCAGTGCTGCCATGTGGGGAGCTAAAGGTACTGTGCACATTGTACACTACTAAGTTAAAAAATATAAACAGTGACAGCTCCCAACACTGGGCGATACAACATACAATGCACACTGCTGGAGCTGCCACAACAGTAGTCGGTCCCCTAAAACACAGCGTATTAGCAGACACGATAGTATGAATGGGCCCTGAATAATTCAGTGTCCCACCACTAACGTTACAAACAGAGGTTTGGATACACGTCTTCTGCAGAAAAAGTGAAAGCTGCACAGCCGTGCCAAGGCACCTCTTATAGTGCGGTCCCAACTCTAAACTGTGAGAGTCCATCTTGGAGCACATGGGGCAAAAGATAAAATTGGGTGCAGGTTTGTCAGGAAGAAGCCCGACCTCCCTTAAAGGAACGCACAAAGGATCCCGCACATCCCAATGGCAGCCGAGACCCCCCCCCCCCCCCCCCCGCCCCGCCCCCCCACCCCTCCCCTCTCACTCCACCAGGCCCGGGGCTACA